GCCGCTTCCATCTTTAGTCAAGTCAGTGGGAGTAGCGCTAAAGGAGACAAGGCCAGAGGTTGACCATCCCCTTTATATAGAAGCCGACCAGATACCTGCTTTGGGCCAACAGGAGCCCAGAGACCTCACAGACTTGAAGCAGGTCTAAATGGATTTTCTTTTGTGATAAATTAGATATCCTAGCCATACCCAGATGGAAAGCAAGAGTCTGGAAATTTACAACCATGCACATCGACCTGGTGGAAGACTTCTGAATTTTTCATGCTGTGTGAAACCTTTAATGACTAATCAAGGTCAGAAATACACCTATGCAGATATGTGAGTCCACTATAGAAAATCTGTTAAGATACAGAGAGGCCTTTTCTAGTCCACTGATGGAAGTCCCTTTACAGTCACTTAATAATGGTGGGATCGAACTTCGCTCTTGAAGTATAGCTAGTGAGCGTCATAGATTGTGTATATAATGAGTAAAACTCTGCCTGCTGGTGCTAATCTTACAGACCGGGGCAGAGGAAAGGCTGCACAACCCTTAGAGCTTTAGAAGCTGCTGTGATCTAGGAGAGGAGGTGCAACTTGGCTGTGACCACAAGCACAGAAACAACTCGAGGGCATAATGAGTCCCAGATGGGACGTCATGCTGCCTTCTCTGTGCATTTTAGTGAACTTATTAGTTATGCAGAGGCCCTTAGCAAGGGTTTATGTCTTTTGTAGATTATGGCCTAGAAAAGAAGACAGAATGTGATGTTTTAGGGCCATTTTGGTGTCTGGGCACAATGCCAATCTTGAACAGAAATAAAACACGTAAAGTTCTACACATTATTCTCTCTAGGTAACAATGCAGTGGACCAGATTTGCTATTAATATAGATTAAAAGTAGGTTTTTAAGTCAGGTTCAATTCCTCTTCCAATTTCCCCTCTGATCTTCTTATACATAACATTTAGTGACCTTTGAAGAGCCCGGGGATGCTTCACAGTGTCTTATTCTTGATGCCTGTTTAAAGGTTTCTATTTCATATTCACAGCTGGCATATGCAAATATAGGTAAAGATTATGATGCCTCCTAAGTAGCATTATGGTCAATAAATTACTCATTGGGCGAACATGCTATCATTTCAGCCTAGCATGTCTTCAACAAATTGCAAAAGTCTTGTAACCGGGAGCCTGCTGGTACCATACACACAGATCTGGTTGCACAGATATTCCTTGATTTGGATGTGATACTTACCCAGAGCATATCCTGTTGGCAAATAAGCTCTCTCTCTGTTGGTGCCAAAGGGCTCCTATCTCTGGGTGCAGGGAGGAAACATCAAGGAGGACTTCTTTCTGCAGATTTGGGGGAGGATAGAACTGAAGAGAACCATTCTGATACAGGAGGGAGCACATTTCCATACAAGAGTGGAGAAGACCTAGTCTGCATCCTGACTCTGCAAATAAGTGGCTGTGTGACCTTGGATAAGTCACATCACTTCTCTGGGCTCCATTTGCCTTTGTAAAATGAGAAGGTTGTACTGGGGCCAGTAGCTTTGACAAGTGTTTTCATGGTAATTGAGCGATGGAATCTTTCCTTCAACTCCATCGTCAGGTAGAAGCCCAAGGAAGAGTTGATCCACTTGAAGAGTAGTAGGGAACTTCAAGTCTTCATAGCTCACCCCACCCCTCCTCTTAGCTACTGTGGAAGCAGTTCTAAAATGACTGGGCCAGGGACCTGCAATGCCTTGCATGTTTCCTCAAGGTTACTCATCTGAAACACCCCCCGCCCTGTGCCTTAGGCCCTACATAGTGAATGAGTGGTTTACTCACCAGAAGGGAGCCCACAAGCCCAGGCACTACGTCCTTTTGGCTCACCATCATACCCCAGCACTGGAAAATATTAAGTACTCAAGTAAGTGTTTGTGGACTAGCACAATGAAGAAGCAAATAAACATGCAAACAAGCTTCAGAAAGAACTTTTTATATTACTAATTAGTGGAAACTTTTATTATAGTATTTTTACCTAGAGAGAGATGTTTCCCCAAAATTAGCATTCAGAAATGCACAAGATGACTTCAGACTTGTTCTTCAGTAACCTTGTCCTACTGCCACTGCAGTAACCACAGGTAGGTACCGAGCCTTGGAAGCTGAGAAGGTCTGAATTAAGATGTCCCAGGTCAGACACACCAGATTTTGAAGACTTAGTATGAAACAAGAAAAAATAAAGAATGTCAGCTAGCTCATTAATACTTTTTATATTGATTACTATTAAAACGGTAATATACTGGGTTAAGTAAAATACGTTATTAAAAATTTCACCTGTTACCTTTTTATCATGTGACTACTAGAAAATTGTGAATTATATATGGGGCTCACACTTTTGTTGGATGGCATTCCCCTAGATGGCAGATTAATTGGATCATTAGTAATTACTCTTCTGTATTGTGTTTGAGTTTTTTTTTTTTTTTCCTTGTCTGTCCCTAGGCACAGAAGTTGAAGTCCAATGTGTCGGGCAGTACACATCTCTGTCTTTCAGATGTAAGTTATGTTTCTTTTTGGGTCTGCTTGCATATATAGAGAGACATAGCCTTTGGGCCCTTGGGGAAGGGTATGATACAAGTACTTCAAAGGTTTTCAGGTTCAGAGAAGATTTAACTCACTCTCCGTGTGCATCTGCTCTTTGAGCGAGGTGCAGCAGTTTAGATCCCAGGGTACATAGTTAGTGTGGGACCCAGGATCTTCATCTGAGAACTAGGCACCAGTACTAATGTCTTTACTCCAGTGCCATGAGTACACCCTTGGAAAATGATCTTGCACAGAGAAGAAACATAATTGCTCTCCACTCCTCTCCAAATGTTCTCCATCTGCACTTCCTCTGGCCTCCACGAGCAGGGGTAGATAGGTCAGGTCCCATTACAGTTCACAGTGGAGAGCGTGCAGTTTCATTGCATGCTCATCCTAGTTCATTGACATCGAGGGGGTGCTGCTAATGGGGATGGAGAAGTTGATCTTGGAAAGGGCAGCTGTGCTAGCTGGGGTCGAGAAGCTTGGGTCTGGGTTGGGCTCTGTAACTGATAAGCAGGCTAGTTTTTGCTCTGACTCCTCGCCTATAAAATCTAGGATTGAACTAGTTGATAAGAAAAAAACACTATGCCTGCTTTGCCTGCCTTTGATGCTATATGGACCATCACTTGAGTGGGCACATTTTCTTTTTTTTTTTTTTTTTTTTTTTTTGGAGAAGTTTTTGCTATAGGGGGCCTGCAATGCCTTTGATGCTATATGGACCATCACTTGAGTGGGCACATTTTCTTTTTTTTTTTTTTTTCTTTTTTTGGAGAAATTTTTGCTATAGGGTGCGTGCACTTGCCAGACAGACAGAGACAGACAGAGAGATAGAAAGCGAAAAATCAACCCCCAAGGGGGATGACCATGCTGCAATCTCTTCTCCTCCATTCTACTGTTGGGATCTTGGGCACGCACGCACACGTGCCCGGCATGAGTTTTAAGCCACCGGGTTCGAGACGCAAACCGCGGTCGACTACGTGGGAGTCCAGCGACATAGCCATTATGCTAACTGCTGGTCCCAGTGGGCACATTTTCTGAGCTGATTCTTCTTCCTGCCTTCTTCCCAGGAGCGAGAGACAGCATTGCCCCTCAGCCAGTGGCACTCAGAAGGACGAAGGTTCCATGTTGTATAACTACAGTGGGACCTGGGGGAGGGGTGCCTGAGCTCTAATATTCTCCCTTGTAATGGATTTTAATAATCCAAAATGAAAGAGCAAGCAGTAAGCATTGGTCAGATCGTGTATCAAAAACATTTGGTTCTCACCCAAGTTCATGATTCCTTCCCATCAAACCACAAGTCAGTGAACTGAAGTCTTAGTGGTAAAATTTGGGGTCAGCCCACTTAGGTGAGTGGGTCAGCAAGTTGGGAGTGGGGGAGGAAAAGAGGGTGGGTTAAAATACGCTGCGATAGAGTGAACGCACACAGTCGTTGATAATGGAAACATTCTTTCTTACAGCGTGATTATGAAAAGGATGGTCTCACTGGTGCTTCCAGCCACATAACCACAAAATCGATGGCGGTCCCTCTAAGCTGTGGTCGGAGCCCACTGCTGGCCCTGGTGATAACCGCCCTGTCTACCCTCTTATCTTTACCTCTGGCAGAAACATCATAGCTGCATTGAAAACACAACATGGACATGTACAAAGACAAAAACCAAGTTATCTGTTTCCTGTCCTCTTGTATATCTGAAATCCCACTTTTGAGAGCTCAGTTGAGAAACAGTTCCATCCAACTGGAACTTTATTATTATTATTATTTTTTTTTTAAGAAAGCTTCTTGTGATCCTTAGGGGCTTCTGTGGAGAACCTGATGCAGTGCCACATTCCACACTGGACAGGCTTTGGGACATGCTGTGTTTTAAAGGAACAGTTTGTAAATCTGGCTGTAAAGCAAACTGGGGCCATGTTTTTCGCGATGATGTTGAGGATGATCTTAACAGTTTTAACACTGGCCCTTACTAGCTAGAGAAGGCATTTATATTTCTAAAAAGCTCTTCCATCTCTCATGTCACAGTTTGATTTTCAGTAACACAACCTGCAGCTTAACCTGGATGCCAAGTTTTTTGCCACAAAGCAGATTCTCATCCAGAGCAGACTTGTGCGAAGAAGCTTGTTCACCTTTCTGTGTGTTCTAGCGTTTTCCATGCCACTGTTGATGTGCCGTGTACAGTTTTCTGCACTCTCCGACAAAACATAAAACACCCGTCACATCCAAATGTAGTACGAGCCTATTAGTCAAGGAGTGAGTGTGAAACTTCACGTACCTCGACCACTGATCTACACGCTCCTAAGCCTTACCCGAGTGAGAAGCCCTTAAACTAACAAGAGTCAAATATAGCCGAGGCATCATTCTAATACTCTTCACATTTATGAGGTTATATGTAGAAAGAGATTTTACTACTAAATGATTTCCACTATTGGCTTTCTATATTTTGAAAGTAATGATATTGTCTTCATTTTTTACTGATGGTTTAATACAAAATACGTGGAGCTTGTTTTCCTGTCATAAGTAAGGTTAGCTCCGATGTTAGCTTCACAAATACAGCTCTTCGAAAGCAGACCCGGAAGAGCCCCGTGCTTTACAGAAACCTCTCCATCACGTTACTGTGGACAGGCAGGAGGAAACAGAGCAGTCAAGCATTGTCTTTTCTCATTGCTTGAGATGCAAATTTACACACTGTGAGGAACCCAGTGGCCGCTTGAATGTTCTGCAATGTCTAGTGGGACCTTGGCAGTTGACATAGACCTGTACCTTGGTTTCATGCTGACCAAGGCAACTTTGATTGGGACAGGAGACCAGCCATGTTGCCCTTTCTTTGCAGCAGGTCCAGGCCAGCATACACAGTCCTTTCCTAAGGCTTGTCTTCACTCCTGACTCACGTCTTGGCCGCTGTGTAGGGCAGTTTGTTCTGAAGGTCACCAAGCACCTGCTTACATCTTGTTTTATGTCCTCTGTGACAGAGTGCGACTGACTATTCAAAAAGAAGGAGGAGGAGGTTTGTGGGTCCGGACTCAACATTGAGATTGATGAGATGCGTAGCTTGGCACAGATAAACAGAACAGAAAAGGGCTCTCATGATGAACAGAACAGAAAGGGACCTGACTTCGTTAACTAGCCATCATCTCCTGTTCTTCTCCTTTACGCAGATAGACCCGAAAGTGCACTTTTGAAGTCTAGTTTAGATGGGGAGATTTAGAATCGACCGTGATCAAGTTCTAGTGGCCATGTTTCTCCAAAACTGAATTCAGACAAGGAGATTCTACCTTAATAGAGTGCCGGGAGCATTAGCTCTCTTCCCTCATTGATAGAGAAGCTGGAGGAGAACACCCACGGTGCACATTTCATACTGATCCCCTTTGCCCGCTGATGTTTGCCTTGTAAGATTAATCGAATTAATGGGGGTGGGGGGAAATCTATGAAATCCAAGATAAAAGTATAGTCTTTTAGCTCTACAGTGTTTGAAGTACATTTATATCCAAATGTTAATAAAAACACAAATGTATTATACTCAGTACCGACTTTTTCCACTTCAAAATGTTTTCAAGGGAAATTCATCAAACACCCGACTGTATTTGATTAGTGAAAAGTTCCGTAAAGACTCTTACTTTGAATAAACACATTAAATGTGTCAAAATATTTGGAATGCCAGTCATCTATGAGAGTGTATCTCTTACAGAGCATATTTTGGTTTAATTAAGGTATCTCTGTGTATCTACACTGGACTAATTGCATATGGGTCTGATTCTATGTGATCCACTGGAGAAAGCTATTGATTACTTCTGCAGTAAACAGCAGCTCTAATTAGCTTCAGATGACCAAAGAGGAAGTGGGATTTCTCCTGCTAACAAGGGCAGCCTTCATTGAAGAATGCATGGACATGCAACACATAAATTACATTTCGAAAAGCCTCATCTCTCACCAATAAAGATCTCATTTTCTTCAGAGATAAAAGCATATTCGTTACCACGTCCTCAGCGTGAAAATAAGTTGCTGATTCAAATAAACAGGGAGGAGAGAGATTCTTACAAAACCAAGCAGAACAAATGTTTCTGCCACTTAGTGGGATCTCAGTTTAACAGGGACCCTAAAACACCATCCTTTACCCCAGGACTGCAGCAGACAATCCCTAAATTGGAATTCCTCTTGGTATGCTTAAAAGTCCCTGCATTTAGGGGGCCACCCCAAACTGGGGCTATCTGCTGAGGTTTGGTCCTCTCTCGGGAAGCAAATCATTGTCGTTGATTTCGATGAAACAAAAACAGTAACTTAGGTTCATGCTGACCATGATGCCCAGGTTCAGTCTTGCCATGCTCTATTTATTTCAGAGAGAGGAGAAACAAGGCAATAATGCCAAACCGATTAGAAGCACATTCATCCACTTTGATGTTGAATCTCTTTGACCCATATATATGTTTGAGTATCTTTTTAATAGAGCACATGAAGGAGGAAGTGCACAATATAGAGAATTCAGAATGCCAACTGAATATTTATTTTTCCATATCAGATTTTTTCCCAAGCCTCTAAGAGAAAAAGAATAAGCTGAAAATTATGTAGGTTATCTTTAAGGATAGCACACTGTATCCAGAGTGTGATAGGATTGTGGCGTCCATTCCATTTTCTTTTAAACGATTCTTTATTCTGTAGTAAAAACAGTGCCCTCCAAGTGGTGTCTTTGAGTCCATAGAACACAGGACAGGGCTCCTCCAGAGCTGCTGTGGGCTTTGATTTGGTCTGTATTGAGACCGTTGCTATCTCGTGTGTAAGCCGAGGATGGGCTGCTTCCAGCTATAGCCTCTCTCCTTCATGCCTCCTTGTCTCTAAATCAGACGCTCCCAAACACTCCATCTGCTGAATTAGAAAAGTGGGAGAACAGAAGCATTTTTGAGTCAGTGTAAAGTGTTTGGGAAAAGAGATGTAAGAGCAGTGGGAGTTTATATAATTAGCAAATTCTTTTCTTGGAATCCAGCATAAATGTATTTCTGTTGTTATTATTTACAAAATAGTGGCCTCGGAGGAGCTGTCTTTTGTAAAATAAGTTTTCATTCATGTAGTTAAACATGCACGACTTACTCAAGTCAATAAACTGTGGGCCAGAAGAGGGCTGCTTACATGACTCCAGTAAGTCTCTCCGGGCCGATCTTGAGCTCCTGGACTCATACCCCCCATGATCTTTGATGCTCTTCTGCTCTCTGATAAAACAAGTGAGATCATGTGAGACCCATCTTCTCAAGAAAGACCTAAAAGCAATGGCAACATCCGGGAGTGAATTACCATGGCCCCCGGGCACAGAGACAGCAGAAAGGCCCCTTTACAATGAGCTTTGAGAGTTTGAAGAGAAGAAGCAGTATCAAGGTGCCGCCCTAGGCCACCCACCATGGCGAGAAGATCGAGCAGTCTGCTGGTGTTCATTACCAAGCTGAAGAGGAAACTCCCACCAAAACAGCCAGAGTTCCTCGAATTAGGCAGCAGCTCCTTTTTAGAAAGGAAGCCAGAATTAATGTCGGAATGATGAAGGAGGGAACGGCTTGTTAGAAATCCTAAAATGAAACAGCTGGCGATCTGGTTGGATGCCCTTAGAAGCTATGGTTCTCTTATTCCTAAGATAGGTATCTCGTGTGTGTAGCTGACATGTCTTGACTTTGACAAGCAACCACTTAAGTCTGTTGTCTAGAATTCTTTGTGAGGACGATTCCTCCAAAAAATATTCTCACTGCAGAGGCCTTAAAGCTGTGGTTTTTGTCACTGTCTTTGTTCTGGGATTATTCTGTAGGGTGTTTCATTTCACAGGGATGGTTGACTTTGGGTATTGACTGATTCAATTCTCTTTTAAATTGATTATTAATGCCTCCCCCACCCCCACCTTTCTTAATCGCCTAAGTATTTAACAGGGTCCCTTCCCATCAGCTCTTCATCCAATAACCATCAGGTTATTGAGAAAGTCATGATGTATTTTCCTATGTTTTTCTATGCCAAAATACATCATGACTTTCCCT